GCTTTTTTTTTTTTTTTTTGATGTATTTGTTTTCCTGTTTGATCTTTTATTATATTTACTGTATGTGCAACAATTAACGCTGTGTTGTCCACAGACCTATAGGCTTCAACTCTTATTATAAATAGAGGCATCTTAAATTGGTCGGGAAAAAAAGGAACGTATTTTGACGAAATAAAGAAAAAGCCTTATTTTTATGGAAGCTTACTCGACTGTTTAAGGATAAGATTAACATGTCATTACTCTTCAATTGATTCCAGCTTATTAATTGATCTTCTATTTTTATGTATTTGGAGAAAGGAAAAATGCCATAGTTCATTAATATTGACGAAATGTGATTTAAAACTGGTGTACTATTTCATTAAGAGTTTTATAAAAAGAATGTCTATATAATAGTACATCTATATTTGGTGCTTTTTTTTGTGACGTTACAGCGTACCGGCAACCTTTTCAATGTGGGGAAAAATTACTTTTAAATTCTTGCATTTCAATGACGTTTATTATTAATTTATTGTAGTTAAAAGTTAGGCAATCCATCACTGAGTACTGGCATCTATTTAAAAAAAAACAAAAAAAAAACCCCCACTGTTGTCAAGGCTTGTTTTCTTCTCTAATATACGTATGTGTACTTCAATGCTGATTACTAAATGTACTCAAGTCCTGGGCAATACCGTAACGACAGAATAAAGATTCAGAATGCCAATTCACAGACATATAACATTTTTATTACATATGCTGCAATATAATACAGGCTTAGTTCTGACAGATAAAATATCCATTATCAATTAAAATATAACAGCTCATTATCCCATAGACTGAATAATGACTATACCTGTACAGAAAATAATTAGAGTCTACACTTCAACTCTATAACAAAAAGTCCAACTGTCCTGGACTAGGAACAAAACCACACTACTTTATTAATAGTTACATTCTATTAAAAAAAAACCATCTCACTAAGTAAAACAATCCAAAATAATAACAGTTTTGAAGTCAACAACCTGAATTGTCCCCCTTCTCCTCTACAGTTAACAGGAGACCCAGGCTGACCAGAACTCAGTCCTGACTACTGTAAATACAAAACACTTTCTCGTAAGAAATTTGTTGTTTCCTAATAGTATTGATTAGTTTTGGGGGGGGGGGGGGCAAAGTTTTCATCAAATCTATAGTCGCAGACAGGGGCGGACTGAGTATCAAAATCGGCCCGGGCATTACCATATAAACCGGCCCACAAATGGCATGTCATATATTTTCGGGGGGGGGGGGATTTTTACCCCACTCCGCAATTTATATATTCTTTCAAACGTTTTTTCTACCCTAGAATACTCTCTTCCTATAATTAGTGGAAAGACAGTACACACCGCCAAAGGGTAGCTAGGGAGTCCGGGGAAGCGCTCAGAGCTCCCCCCCCCCAGACGAAGCCCCGGAACCAAGCATTATTTCCGTTATTTTAAGCTTTAAAAATCCATATTCTGAGGTATCTACAGTGCAATTAGCCTGCTACTTTTCCGCTAAAGAAACTCAAAAACCAAATCTGCTATTCAATGGAGTCCAGCGACTGGTAGAAATTGGTAAAATGCTTTAGTTTTTGTTTTGGAGGGTTAAGGGAAACCACAAAACCCCTTTTGGCTACGCTTATGAAATTTGGTGACTGTGGTTTGCTTAAGTTGGCTGCACTGGGGCAGTAAGTAAAGTTTCCCTTTCAGACAATGAGTGATGGTTTGAAGACCCTCCCCTCCCGGCTACGCCCATGTGTTATATTATAGGTGTAAGCCTAATTCTCTTCAAAATATATAAAGTTTGATAAGGCATCGAAAACTGGATGTATGCATTCGTAGGATTACATAATGTATTCTATTTATACATGTATGTAGTCTGAAAACTATAAACAATACAATAGCCACCTAATGAGTTTGAAGCTTTTTGGTATTACTTATAGAGTACAGACGTTTCTTCAAAAATTAAGATTATAACGTCTTACGCATTTCATGTGTCAATCTAGTCATGCATGTTGATCTGTGACTTTAAATATGCTAAATTATTGGTTTTCCTGGCTAACTCAGGCAACCCATTCCATTAAAAATAAAAGAAAGCAGAACGGTTAGAGAGGAACTTACTTAATGTGAAAAGCTCTTGCTTCCTCCTAGTACATTCTCAAAAACGCGATTTGTATATGAATATACCATGACCCATTATTTAAAATATAAATCTCCTTTTATAAAATATCGGATATCACAGCGCTAAATAAATTATTGTAATAATTTTCATGTTAATGAAAATTTCATACTAAGCATAAGTTAGCCATTAATTATAAAGTATAAGAATTGATTTAGATCTAGATTCATTTTTTAATGAAATAATTTTTTTTGTAAGCCTAAAGTGTAGTATTATTAGATCTATGTTATTAAAAAAAAAACAAAAAAAAAAAAACTTACTGTTTCTTTTCAAATCGCAGAAAGTAGAGCTTTATACCCATATTGAGCTGTGAATAAGTTGGGTGGTTTGCAATTTCGCGGCTGTGTGTATGTGTTAAAGTTAATTTCTATTAAGTATTATTAAAGAGCTAATTGTCGCGCCTATTATTTATTTATTTTTTTGCTGCGTTATATCAATGTTTTCTAACTTAATTCTCTCATCCCTCTTTTTGGTTAAATTTCATTGTAACCATTTAAAGACGGGGGAGGGAAAAAATGGGAGTGTCACCAAAGACCCATGCCGACCAGCAAAATGATTAGGCCAAACACAACTTCGAAGACATCAAAGCAGTCCATGCCGCTCGTGCATAGCAGAAAGTATGTTCTAACGTTTTGCAAATGCATTGAAATTTCTTTTTTCTATGGTCGCGACCAGACCGGCCCACCGGGCATTTGCCCATATAGCCAATCCGCCCCTGGTCGCAGATCTAGATCTACATGCTGTTATCCTGAGGTCCATCGTGCGAAGGGCATATCCAGTCAGTTGTGTCATATCGCCAACTGTAATTATACCAAACAAAACATTTATATATATATATATAATATATATATATAACGTATAGATAAACCAAATTGTACATTCACACCAGACTCACTCATAATTTGCATGTGAAAAGTTTATATCAGATAGTTTCTATTTGATGACTTAATTAGCCTACCATGGGAACAAAAGATTTTTTTTTGTCTGTTTGTCTTTGCTATCGGTGATTGTCTCTCTTTTGTGATGGTACAATCACAAAATTCTGACTCAAAGGGTGATTTTTTATTTCTAGAATTTTTTAGCTTTTTATGGATGTTTGTCTCAAACAGCTGCCCAAATGGGGTTTGTTTCTTGACAATTATTTTACCAGCAGCATCTAGGATTCTATGAAGTTTATTTTTAATGTTCAGATCGCCATACAAGGCAGTGATATTAAAACTTAAAATATTGCAGATGTGAGCGTGTTAAAACATAGCCAAGGCCTTTTCGCTAACATTAAACGAGGTAATCTTTGTTGCCCCTTTTAGCTGATATGGTCTATATTTGCAGCTAAGTTTCGTCACTGAGATATATGGGTCTATGAAATTGATATGTTAATATTGTATGCAGCTTTGTGCAAATTTTCCTGTTTAGAGTTTATGGATGAGATATTCTTTATAAAAACAACAGCAAAGAAACAAACTGTTTTTTTCAGTCAAAGATCGAGCTCCATCGGTTGTTACACTTGCATCTTGTTTCAAGTATACCTAACACAGTTCTTCGTAGCATTGAGTAAATACTGGCCTAAGATTGTGTCTCTGAGTGTATTGAAGTACAGCCAGTAAGAATAATCTTTGTTTACTTGAAACATTTCAATAATTTATACAGATATTTAGAATTATTTTTAATATATTTGCATTTTTATATGTGTATACTGTCGGCACACCTAATTTCTGTAATGTGTCCGCGGGCTGTATAAGACACATGCGGCCCGCAGTTCGTAATTTGCTCACCCCTGAGGTAGAGAGAGTTCTGTTGCAAGACAAGGCTGTTTTCATAGCATCGTACTGTCACTGTGTAATGTAAAATCACGCCTACTTCACATCAACGGTCCAAGCCCTATAGTAGGCCAGCATAAGTGTCGTGCGCAGAAACTTCTAAAGCAGTTTAAACCAGTTTTAATTTATTATGGTTATTTTTAGGTGTATAGATGGCGTCATATTTTCTGGCGTCAGCCAAATTACTCACTAGTCACTTAAAACGCAATAAGAAATATAATTATACTGCTTTATTCAACTTTAAAAAAAAGAAAAACTTTACCCTTTAGTCTTCATAGAAAATATTTAGATTTTGATATCAAGAAAATATGAGTAGTTTTTGCATTTGTAATTTTGAACTACTTTCTATGTGTGCATTAATACCTGAAAGTAGTACGCAGTTCCGCCCACAACTTCGCTAGCATTTTGGAAAGGATTGCCATCTTAGATTCGTTTTGTGTGAAATTTTCTGACGTGTGATACTATCTAGATCAAATTCTTAAGTACATTTTATTAATATATAATGTAGATCTAATATTTTTATCAAGAGCTCTTTAAGTCATCCAAGCTTCATTTCATCAAATTCAAATCGATCAAGTTGAGTTGCTGTTAGACTCTTACTGTGCATATCAGCATTGCCATTGAAAATGATAGATGATATTCGGACTGTCTCACTCTGTGCTTGTGTATTCAAGTATTGTTACAAATACAATTGTAGTTTCAACGAAATAAATTTGGACACTTGTAGGCGTAGACTCGATCTAGATTAGATTCGAGATCTAGACAAGTCTATATAGAAGATCCCAAGAATTCTGACTAGAAATATGATTCCTTTTCGCAAAGGATGTTGGATATTAAGATTAATATGCTTGCAAATCCTAGATGATTTAGATGAGGAATATAGACAAGATCTAGTCTAGCTTCAGAGGAAAAGGACATTAAATGATTTATGATATAGATAAAATCCAGAGAAGATAGTCTTATACTTATAGATCTAGTGTTAATTAGACCTTTCTTCCTTTATTTACTAGACCTATATTCTATATCTTGATCTAGAGTAAAGCGTTGGACGAGCAGTCCTGTTCTTCATAAGCTCTTGATCAGCTTACCGGTTTACCTTATTTTTTAGTCTACTAAATGTTCCTTATTTGAAAGTTTACAAAAACACTTGTCTAATGGAAGCAATACTAGATCTAGTGTGTTTATAATTTATCAAACCACCAGATACAATAAAAACTAACAGTTAATTACTTGCACTGAGCTTGTTAGAAGAGTGGACTTGTGCTAGATTATGGTCTCAAAGAACCCCACCCCTCATTGTTCACCATTGAGCTTGTTAGAAGAATGGAGATGTTCTGAGTGGGCAAGACTGAAACCACCCTATTGTTTCTCCTTCACTTCCTCTCATTCTAAATTTTTCTCGTAGCAAAGGAATTTTTAATTTCTATTGTGGCCACCTACAGGTAAAACTGTTGTCTTAAAAACCTTGGTGTGACATCAGTTACAGACGAGAATGTAGTGCGTGGGAATGGTGACAATGGCCTTTTCTTTTTGACCTCATATTTAATTTTAAATAGGTGTAGTAATACATTAATTCATCTATTTTTATACACAAAAGGATGAAGGATTCATTGATACTATCAGTTTTCTCTTAGGGTTGGTCGTTACAGAGCTATAAACATTGAAATGTGAAAATGGCTGCCAGTGTGCTTAACTCTTTCTTTCCTAATTGATGATACCGTTTATTTGGTTTGATTAACTTTAATTGGTGTTCCATAAGAAGAGTTCACATTTCCCCTTTAATTCTATACCAAATAAGACATTTTATGATAAGTTATTGAAGTTCAATCATAATTAGGGAGTGAACTTCAAATGGACAAAATAAATAATTCCGTCGGAACATGGAAATTAATTACGGAGAGGAGTTAATTTGTTTGAGAACCACGCTTTACTCTAGATTCTGATTGATCTCTTCTACTTCATTAGAAAAAAAAAATTATCTTCACTATTATCTCTAGCTAGCTTTATTTATAATGGATATATAAAAGTAACTGGATTCATATTTGTAAATATGTGATGTCTGTAGGTGAATTTTATACATAATAAAATAAAAACAAAAACAAAAGTGTGTTCAAGTATATTTGTTTATAGAATCTAGATCTATTGTCATTCTTGTATTTATATTCACAGGTTGAAAGTATTCTTCATAGCTAGATCTAAAGATCTAGAAAAAGTTTGACAAGCTTTACAAACATCCTTCAACAGTTTGCACATGCATTTGCCAATAAAAAATCTCGAATGGAATTAAGGTCATTCGATAAAAATTTAGCTGGTTACTTAGCATGCATTAAAAATATATTATAATACAATTACTTCAATTAGATTAACAAGCTAAATTTTATTTGTCCACATCTAATTGCAATACACCTAAATCTAAATATCTACATGCTTAGGTCTTAACTAATAAACTTTGTCAATTTGTCTCTTACATAAGCCCTTTTTTTCAAGCATTAAAAACAACTGGATGTTGAGCCTATTCCTAAAGTACATATGTCCTGACAGACATGCAGCTTCGTTGGATTAAGCAAACTCGGGTACCAGTATAATAGAAATTAAAACTGGTATGTCTTGCTTATTGTGACACCAGCAATAATTTCAATTTTTGAAAACTAAAATTATTTCATTTTGGTAGGTTTGTGAATTTTTCGGATTTAAAAATTTCTTTTTAGTATGGTATATGATTGACCTATTTTTTGGAACATTTAACCTGCAAAGTTAATGTACAGTTCTGTTCAAGATGAACCTTAACAGCTCATCTTTTCAAGCAATTGCTTTATTTATTGGGTTAAGAACATGTTAAGTTGTTCCTTTCAGCACACAGTGTATATCTTATAATTACAAATTGTAAAAAGTGCCTCTCTTATAAAATTTTCTATTATTATTATTACCGGTATTATAATATGGGTACCATCAAATGACTTACCTGTATCATTAGGGCTGGTAATTTTTTAAATACCGGTAGATCTAGATTTCTAGCAGTTATTTTCTTATCCTTTCCTAGCAACATGACTCCTTTCAAGATTTTTGCCTTTAACCTTTAGGTTGTTCTACAGTTCAAGACAGTGACATGGATGTCTAGTTGGATGAGAATGTATTTTGCTTTTGAATTTGAAAAGATATCTAAAGATGACGGTGGTGTCTCTGTGATCTACCAATTAAATACTTGCTGTTCAGGCTTGATTTTAATTAGAATCCATAGAAACATAACTAATTCTAGGCTATATCTTTCTAGATGTTTATCTATCTAAAATGTAAATTTGAAAATATTCTTATCACAACTTAGGTCTTTTTTTTTTTTTTGTCAAAAATTTCTTAGGAACTTTATCTTAAATGAGTTGCAATTTTATGTTCTACAGTTTCAACACCTGCATAAAGATTGTTATAGCCTGTTGCAATGGATTAATTTTTTGGAGTCCTAATGAGGCAATTTATAGGGGTTGTGCAAGCTTTGTAAGTTTTTGTGTTGAACATTATCAAAGTTGCTGTACCGGTACCTCAGATAATTTAATCTTTCAATCAACATGCTCCAACACATTCTTAATGTAGTGTAGTGAGAGTACAGTATTCTGTAAAAAGAAACATTTTCATAAGTATTTCAATTAAGTTTTAAAGTCAGACTTGATGTTTTAAAAACAGTATTGCTTACTGGTTTAACATTTACTATTCTTTAAAATTCTTTACACAAAAAGTTTACGGGTACAATTCTTCAAGTGGACTCAAAACTAAATAGCCTACACAGTGGATGCCAGCAGTCATCAATTCTACTACCGGTACCTGTATTATAGAAAAGGACCTCCTGCTCTTGTCATATGCTGTTAGTGGTTTGTGTATTTATAATACATACATTTTATTCATCAGTTTATAGTACTAGTAATATGAAATGGCATCTTGTCTAAAAAGCACTTAGTATTACAATTTTATTACAGAATTGTTTTAGGCAAAACAACTCTTAAAATTTGCTCTTTAAAAAATGACTTTATAGTAGGCCTACTAATGCTGCTGAAGACACCATGTGGAGAAGTGTAATCTAGAACAAATGAACATTCGATATGTTGTCAAGAAAAACAATATTGAGAGGATCAACGTTTAAGTCGGACCCTAAGACTTTACAATTAGCTCAATGCTCTTTAATTATTTTTGAATGGTACCTTGGAGTGTTTCAGCTTGCGCCAATGTCTCAAGAACACAGTTGAAGTTGCCAAAAGCTTTCAATGTTCTACAGTCTCGGTACCATCTGTCTAAGCTATTTGTCGCAATGGATTAATTCTTCGGGGTGTAAAAAAAAAAGTTGTAAGTTTTCTGTGTTGTAAAAAAAATGTGGAATCTTAAAAAGTTAAGCCAAATGCGGTCTTATGTTTTTTCTTTTATAGTTCAGTATTTGAACAAGAATATAAAAATAATTCAGCTACTGCTAATGTATAGAATTAATTTTATTTTGGTGTGTAGACTGCCAGTACGGTACCGTATCCAGTAAAGTGTAGAAAGACAAAACTTGCTTCAGTGCAAGCTCACAAGGTCAAATTTTATATACCGGGTACGGTACCGGTATTAAAAAAAAATAATTGGGGAGTATCGGGTTGAGAAATGGAATAGCAGTGTATATCTAGAGTTATAATAATGCTCGTTTTTTTTCACTACGTGTAATTCTACAGAAAAGTAAGGTATTACGGTACAATTACCCTCTTATTTTGCTTAGTAAGATACCCGGTATTAAACAAATTACAAAATGCATTACTTCTCGACATTTTCAAAGGAGCTAAGGTCATAAGTGTCCAGTAAATGAAAAGATTCTTCACAATACAACTGCTGAGAATCGTCATTTATGCGGTACCTGTTATAATATAGAATCTGCTATAGTAGTGAGCTATTTATTTTTTTTTAAATTTATAATACTTAATGTTCAATTTATTGCATTACGTACATTTTATACGAATTTTAAGCATGGCCTAAATTGTGCTGATGTGCCAAAAATATTATGACCGAAAAACTGTTCATTGCTCGGCACTTAAATCTAAACCAGTGCTTGTTGCTACTATTGTGCACTTAGATTGACTTAGATCTAACCAGTGTTGTTACTGCTTTGCAGTACCGCTCTGTAAGTTAAAAACTTGATCAACACAGTTTTTTAAAAATCTCAAGTAGGTGTGAGGGGAACTGATGGTGGCTACACGATGATCATCTAAACATAGGACGGCAAGAACAGTTGAAAAGAGATGAATAATAATCAAGCATTTAAGCTGTACAAGTTAATTCTACTTTTTATAGCTACACAGGTCGGCCTTGTATGGAAATACGTTTTCAGAATAATTTAACCAATTTTATTATCCGATAACATCATTCATTGCATAATTATTAAAAAAAAAAAAAAAAAAAAAAAAAAAAAGGGGCTTTGAAGGAAAAAAAAAAGGTTAGGAAAATATAAAAAAGCCTTAAAAAAAAACAATCTAAAAAAAAAAAAAAAAAAAAAAAAATCTAAAAAAAAAAAAAAAAAAAAAACAATCTTAAAAAAAAAATAAAAACAATTACGAAAGGCTTATTTGAAAATTAAAAAAAAAACCTTCATGAAAAAAAAAAAGCCAAAAAAATGCCTCTATGTAATATGAATTTAATATTTTATATGCTATGTTTGTTAAATATCAACTGAGAGAACAAGATTTCAAAAAAAGGGGTTTTAACTTGTATTTACGAAATCAATGCTTATGCAAGTCAACATCAAACGGTGGCTTTGTTGAGATAAGCTTGTATGTTCCCGAAATTAATCTAACAAAACAGATGGTGAGTACATTTTTGATTCACTTCTGCATTCAAAGAAGAAAAAGTGCTCAAGTTTTCAATGCTCGAGTATAATTTAGAAAGAGTTTGCCCAAGTGTAAGTCTTTTTTTCTGATTCTGATACATTACTTCATTCCAGTATCTTCTTGGAGCAAAGCTTATCTGCTTATATACTTGTCTTAACATTTAGAATCTTGGTGTGAAAGTGTGTGTGCATTCTCTTTTTGCTTGACAGTGTTTGCGGTTTCTTCATCCCGTTTCTTTTCAGAAAATGTTCTCTAAAGTGTAATGGACTGAAAAAGAAAATGGTGCTGCAAAATTGTTGTCCTCTAGATGAAAACCGAAGCAGCTAAGTCCTGATTTGTTCCGTTTCTTTTCCAACTCTTTTCATACTTGCAGCAAAGTTATATTTGCCTCTCTGGTACCTGTCAAATCTATGTTTTGAAATGGTGAAAGCAGTGATGCTGATGAAACATATTTGAATGCTATGAATGAAGTACTACTGGTCAACAGATGCAGTAAGTGATGTTAACTATTTAAGCTCTTCAATGGATCTCATTAGATAAAGAGTATGTGTGTGTGTGTGAGTGTGGTTACTTTTCCATTGCAATGCATTACAGAAGAGAAAAAAGAAAAAGACAGTATTTATTTCTCCTGACAAAAACATGCTGAGATGAACATAGGCGTTCATAAACCGAAAGTGCCCAAGTTTTCAATGCTCGAGTATAATTTAGAAAGAGTTTGCCCAAGTGTAAGTCTTTTTTTTTTATTCTGATACATTACTTCATTCCAGTATCTTCTTAGAGCAAAGCTTATCTGCTTATATACTTGTCTTAACATTTAGAATCTTGGTGAGAAAATGTGTGTGAAAGTGTGTGTGCATTATCTTTTTGCTTGCGATTTCTTGCAGTAGGAGCCAATTTTGAAGATGCCATTCCAGCTTGCTAAACAAACACATGGAATGCATTAAAAAAAAAACGTTTGTGGCCTTTGCTGACAGCATTCTTAGGACAAGCATGTTATCTACAAGTGTTGATGCAGCAACATATCAAGGAGCTCTGACTAAAAAAGAAAATGACACGTAAAATAAAACATCACTGGGTAAGCTTGACAGTGTTTGCGGTTTCTTCATCCCGTTTCTTTTCAGAAAATGTTCTCTAAAGTGTAATGGACTGAAAAAGAAAATGGTGCTGCAAAATTGTTGTCCTCTAGATGAAAACCGAAGCAGCTAAGTCCTGATTTGTTCCGTTTCTTTTCCAACTCTTTTCATACTTGCAGCAAAGTTATATTTGCCTCTCTGGTACCTGTCAAATCTATGTTTTGAAATGGTGAAAGCAGTGATGCTGATGAAACATATTTGAATGCTATGAATGAAGTACTACTGGTCAACAGATGCAGTAAGTGATGTTAACTATTTAAGCTCTTCAATGGATCTCATTAGATAAAGAGTATGTGTGTGTGTGTGAGTGTGGTTACTTTTCCATTGCAATGCATTACAGAAGAGAAAAAAGAAAAAGACAGTATTTATTTCTCCTGACAAAAACATGCTGAGATGAACATAGGCGTTCATAAACCGAAAGTGCCCAAGTTTTCAATGCTCGAGTATAATTTAGAAAGAGTTTGCCCAAGTGTAAGTCTTTTTTTTTTATTCTGATACATTACTTCATTCCAGTATCTTCTTAGAGCAAAGCTTATCTGCTTATATACTTGTCTTAACATTTAGAATCTTGGTGAGAAAATGTGTGTGAAAGTGTGTGCATTATCTTTTTGCTTGCGATTTCTTGCAGTAGGAGCCAATTTTGAAGATGCCATTCCACTTGCTAAACAAACACATGGAATGCATTAAAACAAATAAACTTTTGTAGCCTTTGCTGACAGCATTCTTAGGACAAGCATGTTATCTACAAGTGTTGATGCAGCAACATATCAAGGAGCTCTGACTAAAAAAGAAAATGACACGTAAAATAAAACGACACGTAAAATAAAACATCACTGGGTAAGCTTGACAGTGTTTGCGGTTTCTTCATCCCGTTTCTTTTCAGAAAATGTTCTCTAAAGTGTAATGGACTGAAAAAGAAAATGGTGCTGCAAAATTGTTGTCCTCTAGATGAAAACCGAAGCAGCTAAGTCCTGATTTGTTCCGTTTCTTTTCCAACTCTTTTCATACTTGCAGCAAAGTTATATTTGCCTCTCTGGTACCTGTCAAATCTATGTTTTGAAATGGTGAAAGCAGTGATGCTGATGAAACATATTTGAATGCTATGAATGAAGTACTACTGGTCAACAGATGCAGTAAGTGATGTTAACTTCTTAAGCTCTTCAATGGATCTCATTAGATAAAGAGTATGTGTGTGTGTGTGTGAGTGTGGTTACTTTTCCATTGCAATGCATTACAGAAGAGAAAAAAGAAAAAGACAGTATTTATTTCTCCTGACAAAAACATGCTGAGATGAACATAGGCGTTCATAAACCGAAAGTGCCCAAGTTTTCAATGCTCGAGTATAATTTAGAAAGAGTTTGCCCAAGTGTAAGTCTTTTTTTCTGATTCTGATACATTACTTCATTCCAGTATCTTCTTAGAGCAAAGCTTATCTGCTTATATACTTGTCTTAACATTTAGAATCTTGGTGAGAAAATGTGTGTGAAAGTGTGTGTGCATTATCTTTTTGCTTGCGATTTCTTGCAGTAGGAGCCAATTTTGAAGATGCCATTCCAGCTTGCTAAACAAACACATGGAATGCATTAAAAAAAAAACGTTTGTGGCCTTTGCTGACAGCATTCTTAGGACAAGCATGTTATCTACAAGTGTTGATGCAGCAACATATCAAGGAGCTCTGACTAAAAAAGAAAATGACACGTAAAATAAAACATCACTGGGTAAGCTTGACAGTGTTTGCGGTTTCTTCATCCCGTTTCTTTTCAGAAAATGTTCTCTAAAGTGTAATGGACTGAAAAAGAAAATGGTGCTGCAAAATTGTTGTCCTCTAGATGAAAACCGAAGCAGCTAAGTCCTGATTTGTTCCGTTTCTTTTCCAACTCTTTTCATACTTGCAGCAAAGTTATATTTGCCTCTCTGGTACCTGTCAAATCTATGTTTTGAAATGGTGAAAGCAGTGATGCTGATGAAACATATTTGAATGCTATGAATGAAGTACTACTGGTCAACAGATGCAGTAAGTGATGTTAACTATTTAAGCTCTTCAATGGATCTCATTAGATAAAGAGTATGTGTGTGTGTGTGTGAGTGTGGTTACTTTTCCATTGCAATGCATTACAGAAGAGAAAAAAGAAAAAGACAGTATTTATTTCTCCTGACAAAAACATGCTGAGATGTACATGGGCGTTCATAAACCGAAAGTGCCCAAGTTTTCAATGCTCGAGTATAATTTAGAAAGAGTTTGCCCAAGTGTAAGTCTTTTTTTCTGATTCTGATACATTACTTCATTCCAGTATCTTCTTAGAGCAAAGCTTATCTGCTTATATACTTGTCTTAACATTTAGAATCTTGGTGAGAAAATGTGTGTGAAAGTGTGTGTGCATTATCTTTTTGCTTGCGATTTCTTGCAGTAGGAGCCAATTTTGAAGATGCCATTCCAGCTTGCTAAACAAACACATGGAATGCATTAAAAAAAAAACGTTTGTGGCCTTTGCTGACAGCATTCTTAGGACAAGCATGTTATCTACAAGTGTTGATGCAGCAACATATCAAGGAGCTCTGACTAAAAAAGAAAATGACACGTAAAATAAAACATCACTGGGTAAGCTTGACAGTGTTTGCGGTTTCTTCATCCCGTTTCTTTTCAGAAAATGTTCTCTAAAGTGTAATGGACTGAAAAAGAAAATGGTGCTGCAAAATTGTTGTCCTCTAGATGAAAACCGAAGCAGCTAAGTCCTGATTTGTTCCGTTTCTTTTCCAACTCTTTTCATACTTGCAGCAAAGTTATATTTGCCTCTCTGGTACCTGTCAAATCTATGTTTTGAAATGGTGAAAGCAGTGATGCTGATGAAACATATTTGAATGCTATGAATGAAGTACTACTGGTCAACAGATGCAGTAAGTGATGTTAACTATTTAAGCTCTTCAATGGATCTCATTAGATAAAGAGTATGTGTGTGTGTGTGTGAGTGTGGTTACTTTTCCATTGCAATGCATTACAGAAGAGAAAAAAGAAAAAGACAGTATTTATTTCTCCTGACAAAAACATGCTGAGATGTACATGGGCGTTCATAAACCGAAAGTGCCCAAGTTTTCAATGCTCGAGTATAATTTAGAAAGAGTTTGCCCAAGTGTAAGTCTTTTTTTCTGATTCTGATACATTACTTCATTCCAGTATCTTCTTAGAGCAAAGCTTATCTGCTTATATACTTGTCTTAACATTTAGAATCTTGGTGAGAAAATGTGTGTGAAAGTGTGTGTGCATTATCTTTTTGCTTGCGATTTCTTGCAGTAGGAGCCAATTTTGAAGATGCCATTCCACTTGCTAAACAAACACATGGAATGCATTAAAACAAAAAAACTTTTGTAGCCTTTGCTGACAGCATTCTTAGGACAAGCATGTTATCTACAAGTGTTGATGCAGCAACATATCAAGGAGCTCTGACTAAAAAAGAAAATGACACGTAAAATAAAACGACACGTAAAATAAAACATCACTGGGTAAGCTTGACAGTGTTTGCGGTTTCTTCATCCCGTTTCTTTTCAGAAAATGTTCTCTAAAGTGTAATGGACTGAAAAAGAAAATGGTGCTGCAAAATTGTTGTCCTCTAGATGAAAACCGAAGCAGCTAAGTCCTGATTTGTTCCGTTTCTTTTCCAACTCTTTTCATACTTGCAGCAAAGTTATATTTGCCTCTCTGGTACCTGTCAAATCTATGTTTTGAAATGGTGAAAGCAGTGATGCTGATGAAACATATTTGAATGCTATGAATGAAGTACTACTGGTCAACAGATGCAGTAAGTGATGTTAACTTCTTAAGCTCTTCAATGGATCTCATTAGATAAAGAGTATGTGTGTGTGTGTGTGAGTGTGGTTACTTTTCCATTGCAATGCATTACAGAAGAGAAAAAAGAAAAAGACAGTATTTATTTCTCCTGACAAAAACATGCTGAGATGAACATAGGCGTTCATAAACCGAAAGTGCCCAAGTTTTCAATGCTCGAGTATAATTTAGAAAGAGTTTGCCCAAGTGTAAGTCTTTTTTTCTGATTCTGATACATTACTTCATTCCAGTATCTTCTTAGAGCAA